TCAATATGGAGAAAACGAAAACATAAAAGGAAAAGGAAATTTATCTGCTCGAAGTTTTATTGGTGAAGGGGAATCGGATTGAGCGACCATTTTCTTCGACTAGCTCCTCGTTGTAACTTAGTTCCGACCTCAAACAATTCTAGAAGCGTACATGAGAAAACTATACACGCATAGTCGGAGATTTTTTATTGGATGTGTAGTATGGCCTGCTTGCTATTAGAAGGCAGGAACTGAAATAGTGACAACAGGGGAATGACAAGAGTTCTGGAGTTCCGATTTTGTAATTTTTAATTTTGTAAAGCTCACTGTGCAATTTTTTAATCTTTAAAGAAGATCGCTTATGTGGAACATACTTCCCAGTGAGATTTTACCACGTGGATGATGCACCAAAACATTCCTCAGTGTGGATGCACCGAAGAGCTCTCCTTATAAAAACAAAAAGTCTTGGTGTACACCCTGGGTTACACCCTGGGGTACACCATATATAAGGTCCAATTATTTTTTACCCCCACACACCCACACGTCTGTAGAAGCTAAAAAAACAACCGCCCCTTCGTTCGACATCGACCCATCTTTCCCGCACCCTTCCCGCTCCGCCTTCCTCACCCCCTGTGACGCACGTCCGGCTTCATCTTCATCCCCATTTGGCAGACTTAACACGTCCGGCTTCTTCCTCCATCCCCATTGAGCAGACTTTGCGAGTTCGGCTTCCTCCATCTCGACTTCCGAAGCCAGCTTTGCGTCAACACCGAAGGGAGAAGACCCCATTGTTCGAAGACGAAGACCTCGGAGTTTCAAACTTCTTCGCGAACCAGACTGTCCGAAATGGCCGAAGGGTATGTATGAAGTCATCTATTCACTTTTTATGATTTGGGTTTGAATTTTAGTTGAATATAGTCATGAATTTGGAAGAAATAGGTTGAATGGCAGTTGGGAGTATTTTCGAATTAAGAGTTGGGAGCATTTCATCATGAATTGGTGAAGTGTGACTTCCAATTCCAGTGTTTGTGTGACCTTAGGGTTTGGTAGTAGTTTTCTGTGCACTGTAAATTGAGATTACCTTGTTTTGTCAGGTTTCCAGATTACCAAGGACCAAGGTAATATGATATGAATCATATCTAACCTTTTGTGCCATGTTTTGCCATGTGACTTCCATTATTTGTTGTATTAGCTTTATTGAGTTTTGTCTCAGTTTACATTTGAATTTCAGTTTGATGACTCTTTCATATATATTCTCAATTTCATATATAATGTTCTTATCATACAATATAATCCCTCCAATGTCAAACAGATATTTTTACATTATAGCAGATATATGTGCAAAAACCTACTTTAACTACTCTCATTTGAAGTTCTAAATTAAGATTTTTCCCTCTAAGTAAGGCCTGGACATTTCTTGTGATTTTTTCATTAAAGTATGTCCTCTCAATTCTTTGAAGTCTAAGAGGCATCCAGAGAGTGTGTTTATGCATTAGAAGTCTAACTTTCCCAATAGGAAAAAGTGCAATTTTTCACCATTCTCTTTGATTATGATCTGAGCTTTGATTTACTACTTATCAAGTTGAAGTTAGATTGCTGCCAAGTGTGTATTCTGATCATTTAGAGTTTTCTTTTGTAGTAAACAGTTATCTTTTTAAAGGAAATAAATACTAGACATGGAAATAACTTACCCGCTGGTGAGTGACAACCCCCCTCAACTCCATGTCTCATTACTATTCTTTCCTTCAACTTGCAATACATATACCTGCAATACATACTTTTTGTGTTGTTTTAGTCATCACTCTGTCTAGAGTATAGACTATACAGTAAGCTCGGATCACCTCAATGATGGGTGCCCAGCACGATGGACACTTCCCGGCCATTCTAACCAATTCATTTCTGCATTTTGAACAAGTGCACACATGCCGACATGTATAGAGCAGGGTATTCCTTAAAAAAAGTTAGACATCTCTTTTCCATATAGGACTATGTTACTTCTTTTGGTAAACCATTTTTACCATCTTTTGGGCTACAATCCTAGAATACTGTAATGACAATGAGAGCAAAATGTAATTTCTCTCCCTTTATTCTTCTCTTTGACTTATTTTTTCAATCACATTAATATCCCAATGAAAAAAGTTCTTAATACTTCATTATATATATCAGATTATAAACAAGATTTATGGAAAGAAAATAAAAGTTGAGAAATTACTCCCATCCTTTATATTGATCTATTTTTGTCTATAAAATTTTAAAACACCTTAATGGCCAAAGGATGTAAAAAGATTTGGAAAACATAATTGCGAACATAGAATGAAATGAACATCTTATTCTTTAGTCTTTTACTTTTTTTTATTGGGCTATGATTTAGAACCATAAAAGTGGCTTAAGAGAAAATGTACGTACTAATATTTTTCTTCTGCTCTTGTTTCGTGTGCTCAATCTTTTAGCACCGGCACAACAAAAAGGAGAAAAAATCTTTTTCCTCTGCTCATTTCTTTGTTTTTCAATTTATTGGGCTAAGATTTGGAATACACAAATGGTAAGAAGATAAACAGTTCTATTTAAGCTCCTTCATGTTTGTGCATTTCAATGGATATTTGTAGTATTTAACCTCTTTATTTTCCTTCATGTTTCATTTTCTTGAGTAATAAGAACCTGTGGTTGAAATTTAGGTATCGAGTAAACAGTCCTATTTTTGCTCCTTCATTTTTTCCAAGCTTGATTAACTCATATGAGTTGCATACTTTGACTACTTTGACATTTACTCATATTATTCTCTGTGACTGTTGTTTAACATGTTAAATTGCAGGGCGCTTTAGTTGCAAATTGCTGTGAGTGAACATTTCCCGGGCTCTTATTCATTATGCTCGAAGTATTCCGAAGCCGCACAGTTCCTGAATGCGCGTTTGTCACCGGAGCAGCTCACCATGTTTAAAGACACTCCGTGGGGTCATTTGCTGGATGCTCCGGAGATGCAATTCTCAGCCCAGATCATCCACATGCTCTTGTTACGCCTAGTGCGTCAACAACCAGCAGATGAGATGTGGTTTTGCGTGCGCGGGAAGCTCTTGAAGTTTACTTTTAATGATTTTGTCCGCATAACCGGACTACCATGTACTGGTGAGAGGCCGGAGTTGTCCAAGGATAAAAAAAACTCCATTGTTAAGAAGTTCTTCAAAGGACGCACTACAATTACATATCAGCAGTTGAAGAATAGGATGGAAGAGTACAAGGCTCCAAGTAAAGGTGATCCACTACCCGGTGTTAAGCTTGCATCTTTGTACTACACACAATGTGTCCTGCTTTCCAGAGACAAACGGACCAAAATAAGCCCAGAATTTTTTAAATGGATCGATGACTTTGAGAGTTTCAAGAAGTACCCTTGGGCGTTGGAATCATACAATGCGACCGTGACTCACATGAAGTCGCTTATGGTAGGCCAACCGAAGTTTTTCCAGGACAGCAAGAAAGATGTTCCTACGTACGAAAAAATGAGGAATACGATGTATGGTTTTCCGCATGTGTTACAGGTATGATCCAAATTAAACACACCTACTTACTATATTTAATAACAAATATTTATCACCACTTTTTCCATTTTTATAGGTTTGGGCATACGAGAATATACCGGACTTGGCGAAATTAGCCGCTACAAAAGTTGGTGAAGAGGGTTGTGGATTGCTTAACTGGAAAGCGGAACGATATTTTCACGCTGCAAAGCTTCAAGAAAAAGTATTCTTTGAGGTAATTATACTAACTCACATCGCTGCATGGACACAAAATCTGTGTAATCCCTTGCTCAATGTTGTTATTTTTTATTCTAGGAGAGTGTGTCTGCTGACGAAGATGGGGACGAATCTGCGTTGGGACTTTCGGTTGTGGTGGAAGAATTAAAAAAACTAAGGTCGTGTATTGAAAGTTTGGACTCTCGGTTGAAAGTTGTTGAAAACAATGTTGCTGAAATGAAGGCGCTTGTAGTTGCACGCTTTGGAAAAGCTGATGAAAACACTGTTGCGAACCCCTTATCTGGAGAGGAAGAGGTAAACATGTGTAACTTACTGCTTCTTACTAATGTCAGTGTGAACAGATGCTTCATTTTATATTGTCTGTGTGTACCAGCAGTAATACTTTTGAATTTATAGGTTGTTGCTGAAGGAAGCCCCCCAGTTCATGAAGGAGGTTGTCATACTCGTGTGAACCCCATTGCTGTAGAGGATGAGGTAAGCATGTATATGTTACTAGTTATGTCGTCAGAATGAGGTAACCATGTATACGCTGCTACTTATTACTAGTGTCAGTGTGCACCGATGTTTCAGTTTATATTGTCTGTGCGTACCATAACTAATACTTGTGTGAATTAAATTTCAGGCTGTTGCCCAAGGAAGCCCCCCACTTGATCAAGGACCTTCTCATACTTCTGTTAACCCCCTATCTGGAGAGGATGAGGTAACCATGTATCCCTTACTACTTTATTTTTAATGTCAGTGTGCACTGATGCTTTAGTTTATATTGTCTGTGAGTACCGTAAGTAATACTTGTGTGAATTTTCAGGCTTTTCCCGAAGGAAGCCCCTCACTTGATGAAGGAAATTCTCATACTTCTGTGAACCCTCTATCTGGAGAGGATGAGGTAACCATGTATCCCTTGCTAAAAAATAAAGGACTAAAGTTTGCCTTGTCTGTCCCAGTTTTGCTTTCAATACTAGCTAGGCTTATATTAATACATTTAGATTGATTCAATCATACAATCTAGGAGGTGTATTTACGGGGCGTTTTTTTTGTTAAAGACGTAAATTACAATCTTTTTTCGTTGTTTATATACAAATTTATTTCAGCCTGTTGGAAAAGGAAACCCCCCAATCGATCATGCAGCTTCCCATACTTGTGTGATCCCCCTTTGTGGAGAGGATGAGGTGAGCATGTATGATTTACTACTTATTACTACTGTCAGTGTGCACCGATGTTTCAGTTTATACTGTCTGTGAGTACCAATATGTTACTACATGTGTGAATTTTCAGGGTGTTGGCGAAGGAACCCACCCACTTGATCACGGACCTTCCTATACTGGTGTGAACACTCTTTCTCAAGAGTGTCATACACCCACAAACCTCATGCTCTACAGTTCTGAGGTAAAGCTTGTGTATTTAGTCTTAAATATTTGCACACATACACTATGAATGAGGTTGTCTAAAAATAATGTGTGTACATATCTCAAAGGAAAATCTGAAAATAAAAATGTTGGATTTCGATCACAAACAAAAAGTATGAATTCAAAACGTATGAATTAACTGCATGGTGTGATAGTATGTAGTTATTTTGTGAATGTGTAGTTCGGTGCTGATAAATTGCATGAAATAAGTGCAAAGGCCCCATTTGAAAATTTGGACTGGGCTGAGGTCGATGAAGATGGTGGGTCGGCTACAATAGATGTCCTGGCGCTTGAAGAGCAATGCCGCAAAGCAAATCTTAAAGGAAGAAAAAGAAAGTGCTCTAAGTACCGGTGTAGCCCATTCACCGATCCTACAAGAAAAAGGGCCAAAGTACAAAACACGAACCCAAGCCCAACATTTGTAGACATACGCGATGATGAGTGGCTAGAGTTGAAGAAATGGGTTGAAGAGGATGACAACCTAGAACCAACCGTGGTTGTACTTGCTATAACAAGCTATAATAAAGTGAGCCGCAAGTTTGTCCGAGAGCTGATTGAACCGGAGGAGTGGTTGTCGAGTGAAGTAAGTAACCAGACTACAAATATTGTGTGAGTACGGTAAATACATTATCCATGTAAGTTGAATTCATTGAAGAGTAACTTTTTTACTTAATTATTTCAGCACATAGACGCGATTTGCTCACTCATACAAAAGTCTATGGTGAACAAAAAAATTGGCCTCATTGGTCCCTACTTTACGGTATTTTAGTTATTCAATATGATGAACCAGTGTAACGTGTTAATACCAATCCAACATTTCATTTCATTCACTAATGGACTGTTTTGATGTAGTATAAAATTCTGAATAAGGACATTAATGTTGCTAAGCACTGGGCAGAAGACAGGTTACTTCCGCGAGTTAATTGGTCAAATTTTGAAAAGGTAATTAAATGAAATAAAAGTTTATGTATTCAAACATTTGTTAAATGGCTGTGTGCACCAACAGTTTCTATATTAAAACATTCGTTAATTGTCTGTGTGCACCAACAGTTTCTGTATGTAAACATTTGTTAACTGTCTGTGTGCACCAACGGTTTCTGTATTCAAACATCTCTTACATACCATTGTCAATAGGTTTTAATTCCATTGAATGTGGATGGCCTACATTGGATCTTGACGGAAGTTGACTTTAAAGCGAAGGTGGTTAGAGTGTATGACTCTTTGCGGAGTGCCAAATCTAAATCAACTGCCCATCATCTATGCATCAGACTACCGTATTTACTTAGTGTGATAAAATGCCCCGAGTCTGCTGCAGTTTCAGATGAGTTCAAACCATGGCCTGCGGAGGTAGTTCCCGGTGTACCGCAACAACGAGGGTATCTAATTTTTCACCCATGTTATTGGCTATGCAAAATAGAACCAAAATGTATGCAAGTGTTTTTAGTAAATATTATCATTTGCTTTTTCAGGAGTTCGGAGTGCGGAGTGATGACGATGGCATTTGCGGAGCATTTGGCATTGGAGTATCTTTTGACACCCGGATGTAACTACGACAACATGTTGGACATGAGAAGCCAGTTTGCGGTGCGCCTATGGCATCTAAAGAAGACTGATGTTTTTGAACCTGTTTTTCCATGCCGTAGATACTAATGCATGGAATGTTTTTAGAAAATGACTTTGCATCAGCTTGAAATTCTAGTTCGACTTTACTTCGCAATGCCCGCCCATATTGTTCAACGAACTGTTTAAGAGATGTTTTTGAATTAACGTAATCATCAAAAAACACATTCATGCTCTCACTACGTTGTGTCGTAGACATGCCTGCCCAAAATGTTGTCTTAAGATAACAAGGGACCCAACGGGCTCTTTCATTGTACATTGTTGTAAGCCAATCATTGTCTTGTAGAGCAAACCTGTAAAATTTAAATGAATTTTACAAATTCATTTAAGCTACACTGACCATTTTCTGTCTGTGAAACACAAAACGTGTCGATAAGATTTTTTTTGTTGCAGAAGGGCCTAGGCATGAACAAAGGTACACCCACACTTTCCATCTGTGACATGCAAAAAGTGTCGTTACGGTGTCTTAAAGTGGCAGAAGGTCCCAGGCATGAACTAAGGTACACCGACGTTTTTTGTCTGTGAAATTCACAAAGTGTCGGTACGGTCTCTTTTAGTGGCAGAAGGTCCCAGGCATGAAATAAGGTACACCGACACTTTCTGTCTGTGAAATTCACAAAGTGTTGGTACGGTGTCTTTAAGTGGCAGAAGGTCCCAGGCATGAAATAAGGTACACCGACACTTTCTGTCTGTGAAATTCACAAAGTGTCGGTACGATGTCTTTAAGTGGCAGAAAGTCCCAGGCATGAAATAAGGTATACTGACACTTTATGTCTGTGAAATGCAAAAAGTGTCGGTAAGGTGTCTTTAAGTGGCAGAAGGTCCTACGCATGAAATAAACTACACCGATACTTTTTGTCTGTGCATTACATAATCTATCTCTGACACGTAAAAAGTGAAACTTAGTTAATGAATATTGGAGTGTACCTTTCGAGCATGGCTTTCCAATCTTCCTTAAAGGTCGTAATGTACTGAGAGTCATAAACGGCATCATGTATGGCTGTCATGATATCATCTTTATCTACAAGTCCACCCATCTTTTCAGGTAACTTCTTCATTATGTGCCAGAGACACCATCGGTGCCTTGTGTTTGGGAAAACGATTTGGATGGCATTTTGCATGGCCCTATCTTGATCAGTTATAATCTCCATTGGAGCATAACCATCCATACACTCAAGCCATGTTTTGAACAACCATACGAATGTTGATGTATCCTCACTAGAAATGATTCCACAACCTAATAACATCGATTGCCCATGATGGTTAACACCAACAAACGGTGCAAAAGGCATGTCATAGCGGTTGGTGAGATATGTCGTATCAAATGTAATCACGTCTCCAAAATCCTTGTATGCATGTCGACACCTATTGTCCGCCCAAAAAATATTACGCAAACGTGAATCTTCATCCAAGTCAATCGTGAAGAAAAAACCTGGACATTGAGCTTGCATTTTTGTACAAAAACCTTGGATGGCCATTGCATCCCCATCTCCTAATCTAAGTTGTCGAACTTTTTCTATGTGGTTCCTGCAGTCCTTTTCAATGAAAGGAAGTTGATCATATCCTCCGGCTTCTACAACCGCGGATTTGAAAGTTTTACAAAGACGTATTACTGCAACGTCATTTACATCGATTTGGTGCCTAATTTTCATTGTCAACTTCCTATTACAACGGAATAATCTAGACTTCGTGGGACTCATAGGATGATTATGGTTCAAAAAAACTTGTGATATTACCCATGACCCGGCATAATCTGTCTTTGCTCTTATTCTCGCTAAGCAACCATTTTGCATGGAAGGTTGAGGTTTCAAACAGTTTTTCGACCTACTACCTCTGTTGCCTGCACGTGAGCACTCTACTACAAACGCGATCAAGTCCCCTTCTTTATCCTTCTTTGAAGTGCGGTGTCTAACAGGAAAGCCAACACTTTTGGCATACTTTTTGTAGAAATCATAAACTGCATCTTTTGTAGGAAACTCCATGCCTATCTTTGGAATTTGTTCACATTCATCAGCAATGTTATCTCCATCTGTTCACATAATCAAATAATTATTTTACATTAACTCCTTCATAGATACAACAATCATCTTTGCAGGTATACATTATTGTAGTAGGGTATATATTAACAATATTCATAGATCATTTTTCATAGGTATACATTAACAAAATTCATACTTCAAAGACTTGTTTGTAAGTATACATTAACAACATTCATACATACATTAACTCATTGTGCATAGATACAACACTCATCTTTGTAGGTATACATTAAATTATAGGGTACATATGAACAACATTCATTCATAAAATCAATTTTTATAGATATACATTAACAACATTCATACATCAAATACATCTTTGTAGGTATACATTAACAACATTCACACATACATTAATTCATATTTGTAGGTATACATTAACAACATTCATTGATAAAATCAATTTTTATAGGTACACATTAACAACATTCATACATCAAATACATCTTTGTAGGTATACATTAACAACATTCACACATACATTAATTCATATTTGTAGGTATACATTAACCATATATACATTAGTTGTCGGTACACACCGACACTGTGTATGTAAGTTGTCTGTGTGTGTCAAAGAAAATACCTCTGCCATCTGCGTTTGTCTTCCCCCTGCTACTTCCTTCCCCGTCAAAGTTTTCATCATCCAGACCCTCAAAGATCAGAACTTCGTTGCCACCTTGTGTCGCAGCTCTACCACCTGTCGCACCTAAGTCTTCATCCCCAACTTTGTCCGGAGCTCCATCTTCTTCGTTCACAAATCCACCATTTCGGTCCTCCATCGCAGCTCCGTCTTGTTCGTTCACAGGTCCACCATTTCCGACGCTTAGAGCTTCTTCGTTTCTTCCATTTCCGACCTCCGTCGTCCGTCGCAGGCAGGAATCGTCCAATGCTCCATCGTTTCCAGTCCCCTGTTCATCCACCATCACATATGCTAGAAAATCATCCATGATATTCGCAACAAAAAAATAAAAAAACAGAGACAAGGGCGGGAAGAAAGAATGAACAAGGGTGAAGGATGGGAAGAGAAAGAAACGTGCGCAACTTTGGGGAGGGGAGGGAAGGGCTGTGCGAGTGAAAGGGGTAAAGAAAGCTGTAAATAATTAGACCTTATATATGGTGTACCTCAGGGTGTAACCCAGGGTGTACACCAAGACTTTTTGTTATAAAAATAGCGTGCAACTTTTTAGCGAAGGGTTGTTTAAAACTCCGCCGTAATACTAGGTTTGACCGTTTGAGTGTCTTAACTCCGTATTTTTTTAAACCCAACGTCGGTGAGTGGGAACTGACGTAATAGTTGTAACTTTTTATTTTAGGGAGTAGTTTTAAATTTATTTATTTAATTAACATTTCGACGCCGCCTACCTTCTATTCCATCGAGCTAACCCTTCTACGGTCTCCCTTCTTCTTCGGCGGTCATGCTTGCACACTAACGTGCACTTTGTCACGGTGCGTCAAAATAATATTCAATACTAACACTTATACGTATTATAGGTGAAGTAGAGTTCGTATCCACAGGGAAAGGAATAACTCTCTTTTTATGTAACTAAAAAATAAAGGGGGGTTTTGATTGAGTGATTTAATTAATTTAAACACGAAGATGAACGACTTATATGTGATTTAATTCAAGAATAAAAGGGACTTGGCATTGCTACTTTCCACTTGTTGATATATTTTAGTCGATCATTGTTATATCTATAACTTATCTCCTCTCGAATACTCAATCGAGGAGTATATCCAATTCATCAAGGGTAGTTATTAACAACGACCGTTCATTAATAACCCTTACTTTTAGTCAAGTATAGAACAACGCAATTAATTTACCGACTTGATAGTAGCATTTAATCTCTTAACTCCTTGATGAAATCAATTGAGATTGATAACCTCAACACAACGGTTTCGGTTTAACCAACAAAATTAATCCCTC